CATCCCATCAGACTGTGGGTGAAGTGGCGGTGGGTAATGATGACTAGTTGCCTTTTCTCTTGTCTTACACCGCTAAATTAGGGACGGCTAGTGCAGATAGTCCTCGTGTAGCTTTGCGCGAAATTCAGAGAACAAACAAATTAAATAATTTCGACCTTTAATATTTCATTTGGCCGAGCCCCCCAGTGACACAGCGCTATGTCTGTGGACTTACAATGCTAGAATCCGGGTTTCGATACCCATGATGGGCAGAGTACAAATAGCTCATCATGTAGCTTTGTGCTTAATTACAAACAAACATTTGGCCGAAATGTTGATCACATAGTTCTTCCTTTTTATAGCCGTTTAATTCAGTCCTTTGCGCTTTCAGATTTTATCAGGCTGTTGTTGTTGTTGTTTGTTATTAAGCACAAAGCTACACAAAAAGCTGTCTGTGCTCTTCCCAACACGGGTATCAAAACCTGATTTCTAGCAATATAAATCCGCAGACATGCCGCTGTGCCACTGGGGAGCCTTATCAAGCTATATAATTGTTTGTTATTCGTTAAAAAAACTATTTTAGTTAATACTGTTTTCACATTACAAAAACTATTTCAAAGATATCGGTTATAAATTGTAGCAACTGTAATATTAGCAGAATCTCAAAGGCTCTCCCAGTAAATTATTAAATAAATATTAAAAAATTTCTATTGCAGAAGATTTGTCAGTTTGTTTGTAATTAAGCACAAAGTTACACAATGGGCTATCTGTGCTCTGCCCACCACGGGTATCGAAACCCGGATTCTAGCGTTATAAGTTCGCAGACATGCCGCTGTGCCACTGGGGGGCCTATTGCAGAAGAAATGAATGCACGTTTCTTGTGTCATGAAAATGACGCAAAAGCTACTGTACATTAACACGGTCAATAATGTATAAACCATTATGCATTTATAAAAGTTATGGTTTAAACGTCCAAACTTGGCAAAGCAATAGAAACCGATAGGCTTATAATTTGCGACAAAATTCATGCAAGCTGCTGATGTTATTTATCCACGTTCCTTTTGATTTTTCAGTTTCGGATTGAAAATGAGAGGTGAGTAAAAACTGATAAATTATGAGGAATGTGAAAAATAAAACAATCCTCCATTAGGTATATAAAGTACAAGCTGAATGCCGTATTTTCTTCTCAAAATTATATCTAATTAAATGTTTTATGGACATGTTTTCTAAACATTAATTATAATCTAATAATAACATATGTATATAAAAAATTACTGTCCTATTTCTATTATTTCACAAAAACAACTTTTCTATGTATATTTGGTCATCTACTTTAAGTATTGCTTGATCAGCATTTTGATTTCTATATATGCTTAAGTTATGCTTAATTTTTTCTTGATAAATCCTTATAGATTGAAACATGCGTAAAAATTGATTCTCAAAGTCATATTCTCATTTGGTCAACTGTATGACCTCGCAAATTATTAATAGTGATGGTAAAGACTGTCTTCCTGGTTTTGGCTTTGCTAGTCTACTGAGCTGAGAAGCGCGCTATAATTTGGGCTTTTCCAAAACTGAAATGTGCTGCGGGTAAAACATGCGGATTATTATAGAGTTGTAGCCGAGGGTTCCGATTGGACAAAAGTTGGGGATGCTGCATCAACGTATCTCCTTGACAACGAAGCAACCGTAACGGGAAATGTCAGCCAATGGTTATGATTTTTGTGCGCTAGCGCAATACCAAGTGTTGGGCAATTTTATTACTCATCACGATCTTTACCAACCTGCCCTCAAATCTAACTATATGCCCAAAGTAGCGCATTGAATTAAAAAAACAAAAAAAAACATGTTAGCCGTAGCATAAAGAACCGTCGTTTCGTGCGAGATATCGGCGTGACAGACGGATAGACGGACGGCTTTTCGTCTTTATCTAGTAGATAAGCTCCACGTAGTGGTGTTCAGTAGCAACGCTACCTTAGATACATAAAGAACAAGTTTCACATACTAAGTTGAATGTATAAAAAAATACAAGTTCCAGATGGGGGATCCGGACATTTTGTTACGAACATTTACTAACTGGACATTTCGTTACAGCCACATTGTTACTAGGACAATTTGTGACGGGTGCATTCTTGTTACATCATTTTTGTGACACGTCACGAATATTCATTTTGTGACAAGTAGTTTTTTTTATATAAAACTGACTGGCGACAATAATAAAAAAATTATAACAGATCGTAAATTGTACAATCATTTGGGGACCATTCAAACATTAGATAATACTATGGGGGTGAGAGGATGTCTAAGCCTGTATTACGATGTGTTACAAGGGGTGATATGAACAGTGTTACATAAAATATAAATTACAGTGAAAACGATTTAGATCTACAAAAACATTTATTGTACTTTAACATACTTTGATTTGAATTCAAAACACCTTTAATAACCCGAACATTTGCAAACATAATATATGTATAATTTTTACGAGAGATGGGTGAGGTAGTAACAAAACTTTTCGTAACGATGTGGCAATAATTAGGATTCCGTAACGAAATCTTTCTCGTAATAAAAAGTCCACGTCACAAGATGTTCGTAACGAAATGTCCCAGACTCTCCAGATAGTGATGACTGGTAACAATGCTACATTATATATGTGAAACACACATTCTACATACTTCAGTAATGGTAACAATGTACATTAGATATATAAACTACATGACTAGTAACAATGCTATTACAAATATGACAAAGAGGGAGAGATAAAGTAATACAAACTACATGCTATAATAGCATACTTGACTTATTGAATTTTCTGTATGAATTCATTCTTGTATTCCGTATAGAAATAACTACAAAATTCGCTATTTTATTTAAATATGTATATTATATTTCAAAATACATTTATAGCTGTCGTTTTAACAACTAGAAGCCAGATTGTTGATCATAGTGTATTTTCTAAAAAAACAACAACAACAAAAACACACATCCAGAATAGAGTCTTTGTTGAGCAGTTTCCCTTTAAATATGTGTTTGAAATTTCTCCAAAATACTGACATTGTATGGAAGAATTTAGTGATTTTCAGTGAAAACACGAACCTGTAAAATATGTGGAAAAAAAAGTAAGCACAGCCTATCACGAAGGAGTGTGTGACACATAACGTATAGCTTCAAACTTATGAATAGTAAATCACTTCAAACATACCATATACTGTCTAAAAACTTTTATACGAGGCTTTTATTCCCTTCAAAACCCTTAAATCAGAATATATATAACGTTGAAACTAATCAATATCGTTATCAGAAAATTTTGGGAGAAAGCACCAATAATCCATCTATAATAAATATATAAGTTTATTTTCTTTCTAGTCATTCATAGACAAACTTTGTATAAGATGAATAAGAACGAAACATTGTCTGCCATGGAAACTGTATATTCATATTTCAGACTTTTTTCTTTCTTTTTTCTCTCGTAGTTGCACGAGGTCTAGGCGTTCTTTTAGATACAAAAAAAAAGTTCAGCTATAGCAAGAATTAATTATGTTTCGAGATCTAAGACCACGTAAAATAAATAACGTTTAATTACAATAATTTGTCCTAATATCATAACAGATTTTGTTATGAATAAAATATTATATTCATACTTTTCGTTTTATATATACAAGGAAACTCGTATCTAAGCTGTGTTAAGGCTCTAATATCTCATTACGAAGCAAGCTCTTAATCAGCCCTTTTCAAGTTAAAGCATTTTGTGGCCTCTGTTCACATGCAACCCTCCAGAACTAAATGTTTTACGCTGTGCTTAGTTCAGAAGAGTCGCACTATAAATAAATCACTTCCGTCTCTTTGTGCAACTAACTTCCTCAGTAAAGAATATTAAAAATCTCTTTTCTGGCAAACTGTTTGTTGTTGTTTAAATCTATAACAATTCTGCCGTGGTTGTCGTTATGACTAGCATAGTAATGTATGTAAACGGTGAAAATAATTAAGATTTAATTTATATTTCTAGGTTTAGTAATCAGGTCTCGTTGTTTAACATGTTAAGATAGAAAATACTAATGATCATATAATTATCTATTAGCAGCACCATATAATCA